CGTGATGGAAAAAGCACTGTATTGAACATCAGGATCATTACTCGCGGCTCTGACTATCAGTCTCGTGTCCTCTTGTTGGAGATGCCCACAACCACAGGAACGAGTCTCCTGGTCTCCGCTATCATTTCCCTTCACTATCTCACACACCTCCATCCATATGGTCAACCCTCACCTCGGCCCTACTCTCCTGTTTTCTCAGCTGCCGTGAAAGGTTTGTGACTCTTCAGACCCCAAGGCTGTGACAAAGCCGGTGTGGGGGGGGGGGTTTGGGGAGAGGGTGGGAAGGGCCTAATAACTAACGAGTAGGTTTCATCTGTTGTTAATTTCACAATGAATGGCTTCTGAAAGACCACGTTTTCACTGTGTTATTGCTTGACTCTCACATGATTCATGGATTTTGTTCAGCGCTGCAGAGAGGGACAACACTCAAAATCTGTTTGCGTGGGATAGAATTTGATACGGAAGCTTTTCTTTTGTCGGTCACACGTGCAAAGCCATCAACGTGATTATGAGCCTCCAAACCAACCTACTGAGAATTCCAGTTACACGTGGGAACAGGCGGACAGGTGTAAGGTGTAGTGAGTGTGTGTTATTGGCAAACACAGCAGCCAATTTGCACACAGCGATATCCCACAAACAAATGTCTCATCCGAAGAATAGCACTGTGGGGCGAGAGAGAGAGAGAGAGAGAGAGAGAGAGGGCTCGAACCCACAAATTACTATGTTAAAGGTGAAGAAAGCATTACCATCACCTGAGTGCAAAGAGAAATAGAAACAAGACACCGAGCAGAGTGGGTGCTGAGAGCAATGTGTGTGTGTGGATGCATGCTGGGGATAGGGTGATGGAGCTGAACTAAGTTACCCAGGCAATGCATTGTATTGAACTAACTGCTAAAGCTTGGCTGGATTATTCACTCTCTCCTCACTGATATTAATTCAAATCTCTCGCACTGCCAGGCGTCGAGAGGTTCAGAAGCTTTATATATGCTCTGCGCAGGAAGATAAATCGCTGGGAGTGAGTCAGACAGCAGTGAGACATGGAAGAGATTCAGACATCATTAAACATCATCCCAAGCTTGAATAACCCATCACATCATCTCTGTCCCTCCATTCATCAATGTCTTGTAAGAAAGAGAAGTTACTCACATTTTTTTATAGCATCTGATCATGTCGAAAAGTGCTTCACTTTTCACTGCTGTCAGGTGGAGACACACGTGTGTGTGTGTGCGTATGTGTGATGTGTGCGCGCGCGTGTGTGTGGAGGGGGAGTGGAATCTCCAAGCTCCTGGGTTTATTATAATAATAATAATTTTCAATTTTCTTTTAAGAACCACAAAAAAGAGTTCATTCCAAACTTAGCAACTTGTCAAACTGTGGACGCTGTGAAATGCTATGTGAATAATCCTTGCGTTTGATACAGCGCCTTATCACGTCATTGAGATGTCTCAAAGCGCTTCACAGGATACAACGTATAGTGAATTGAGTTTCTCACCCTCGGTTTGCAGCCTCTCCACTCCCCTCCGCACCCCCTCCTACTCTTCATCCTTCATTTAAAGGCTTCAAAATAATAATAACGCCTTGGCATTTGTTACAGCGACCCTCACATCAGAAGGACATCTCAAAATAGGGCAAAACGTTGGGCAAGTTTCCTTACTCCACACACATGCCTCTGTTTACCCAGCAGTAAGCGCTCTGGGATGCTACTCTGTATGGAGGGCGCTATATAAGTGCAAGTTGTTGTTGTTGTTGTAGGAACCTGGTTGTTAGTCGATTGGTGGATCACTTTTCGGGTGTAATAATCCCATAAAAATATATATATAATTTGGTCTCTAAACCCACGACTGTTTGTGGGACGCTGCTGTGCGCAATTGACTGCTGCGATCTGCCCACAAAACAGTCAGTTCACTTGACGGTCTATTCTGTGAAGCGCTTTGAGACGTCTCGAAGACTCGATAAGGCGCTGTATCAATGCAAAGATTATTAATATTATTATTATCTCAATCCAGCCTTCAATAACCTGGGTGTTGAGGCCTGGGTTCGGCTAAACTGGATACAAGGGGCTCTGCCGCTTGCTCACTCGCTAATTCAATCCAAACAAAATCCCCAGAACATTTGTAAACAAAGGCATGGATTTGCCCCGAGGTGATTAAACCACTAAATTGTGCTGTGCTCTGCCGTTTACATTTCCGAGTGGATTCTCAGTGTTCAGGCCTCGCTGCACATTTCCCCAAAGAAGCCGGTGTATAGTGTAACACACGGCCCACAGCACAGATTGTATAGTGTAACACACGGCCCACAGCACAGATTGTATAGTGTAACACACGGCCCACAGCACAGATTGTATAGTGTAACACACGGCCCACAGCACAGATTGTATAGTGTAACACACGGCCCACAGCACAGATTGTATAGTGTAACACACGGCCCACAGCACAGATTGTATAGTGTAACACACGGCCCACAGCACAGATTGTATAGTGTAACACACGGCCCACAGCACAGATTGTATAGTGTAACACACGGCCCACAGCACAGATTGTATAGTGTAACACACGGCCCACAACACAGATTGTATAGTGTAACACACGGCCCACAGTGCAGATTGCAATATTTGTTCAGTTCAGGTTTGTATTTAGTCAATGGGAAGACACCAGGGTTGGATTTGTACAGCACAAAGAGGAAATGTGACCTTTCAGAATACAACAACAATAATAACAGTAATAATAATAATCCTTGCATTTGATACAGCACCTTATCATGTCTTTGAGACGTCTCAAAGCGCTTCACAAACTACACTGTAAAGTGAATTGACTGTTTATTTTGTTGGCGAAACATGGCAGCCAATTGCGCACAGGAGCGTCCCACAAACAGTCGTGGGTTGAAGTGACCAAATTATTATTATTTTTTGAAGGGATTTTTACCCCCAGAAAGCGATCTGCCAATCAACTAACAACTGGGTTCCTACTTGCTGCTAGGTAAACAGAGGAGTGTGGAGTAAGGAAACTTGCCCAACGTTTCACCCTGCCCGGGAATCAAACGCAGTTCCTCTTGCTTGCACATGGAAATCTGGGATTTCTCTGTTTAGGTGGGATACATGGAATTCTCAGTTCAATTGGATAGTCTTAAGCCAGGTGATGGGTTTCTGCGTGTGTCAGACGCCCGGCTGACCCCCGCCCCTAACAAAAATGGACTTAATTAATTATAATAACAATCCTCGTATTTGATTCAATACCTTCAATGTCGAAATGTCACAAAGTACTTCACAAGATATGCTGCAAAGTTTAGTGACTGTGTATTTTGTGGGCAAAACATGGCAACCAATTTGCACATGGCAACATCCCACAAACGGTCATCGAGTGACGGATCAAGTTTTCTCTCAGTGCTGTAAACACACAGTCACTCCACTTTACAGTATATCCTGTGAAGCGCTTTGAGACGTCCTCCCAATGTGAGAGACTCTCTATCAGTTGCAAGGATTATTATTCTAAATGCCTCTGGGTTTGGGTGGATCTAAAGAGAGAAAAGCAGATTTTTAAACCACTCGTCTCCTCCATAGACCAAGGCCCGGTATGAAGGCAGTGAGAGAGAGACAAGGAGAGACACTGGTAGGTCAAGGGGTTTGCAGACGCTGTTTCAGGCACAAAACAAGCCAAGGATTGTCAAAGAAAGGGTCACTTCAGGAGGAAGATCGAAAACATTGAGATGGAGAGAATGAGAGACAGATAGAGAGGACAGAGAGAGAGAGACAGATAGAGAGAGAGAGAGAGACAGAGAGAGAAAGAGAAAGAGTGACAGAGAACGAGGGAGTGAGAGTGAAACAGAGAGAGAGAGAGAGAGCACAAAAGTGAGACATAGAGCACGCGCGAGAGAGAGAGAGAGCGAGAGGGACAGAGACAGATACACGGACCTGCTGAAGCTATTAAACTGTAGTACCAGTGATTGAAGAATATCAGAGGCTCATTTCTGCAATCAGTTTGTCGCGCTGTGGGGCTGGAAAGATCTAATGGACGATGACAGATACACATCAGAGTTCCCTGTGATGTCTCACGATGACAAGAGTCTGTATATTTACAGCCATTAGCGCTGCTAAGAGTTTGGCAGTATTGACCGGTGGTCTGGCTGGGGATTGGAAGTAAACGTGACGGACACTTTGCGCACAGCGATGTCCCGCCGCCAGCTGTGAGGAGAATGATCAATTTATAATAATATTGTGATCCTCACATTCCATACAGCATTTTTCATGTCGGGAAAACATTAAAAAAAACTAAAACAGGGTTTATGGTAAAGTGCAAGAAATGTGTATTTTTTTAGGGCGATGCAGCAGCCAATTTATACCAACTGATACCTCACAAACAGCCTTTAAGTGAGCAAATGATTCTATCTGGAGGTTTGTTGATCAGGAGACAAGGACAAAGAGAGAGAGAAAGAGAGAGAAAAACTCCCTCCTCTTTGCAATCCTGATGTGGGTGGAGGGGGAGGGAAGAGGAGGGGGGGAGCTGGGAGAAGAGGAGGGGGGGAAGTGGGGGAAGAGGCGGGGGGGAAGTGGGGGAAGAGGAGGGGGGAGGTGGGGAAGAGGAGGGGGGGAAGTGGGGGAAGAGGCGGGGGGGAGGTGGGGGAAGAGGAGGGGGGGAGGTGGCGGAAGAGGAGGGGGATTCAAATCTGTCTGCCGCCCCAAAGAAACGCTGGTTATGGCAAAATTAGCAAAGGCTTTGGAAACAGGACTGGACAGACAACTGAGAAAATATGTGTTTGTGTGTGTGTGTGTGGGGGGGGGGGGGGGGGGGTAAGGATGGGTGAATACAGTTGTAGATCTAAATGAGAGCTCTTCATAGCCAACATAGGCAGATGAGCTGAATGGCCTCCCTCTGTGCTGTACCTTCCTCTTGTTGTGAGAGACCTGCTGTTTCCACAGATGGAGTGGATTAAGAGCGACACTGGCAAAGCCACTGGAGTGAATTGTCTGTGGTGCAGCAAGCGTCAGCAAATAAAGTAGCACTTACCGAACAGTGGACTGATAGACTAAATCCTCCCTCCTCAAGGACTCCTCAATGTGAGTGTAATTGGTGGAGAAAAGCGCATCATAGGTGAATATCTTCTGTTTGATCGCTCCGCCCTCTGTCACCTGCGGTCAGACAATAACACAGTGACAGAATGCCAGGCACAGCGAGGCCATTCAGCCCATCGAGCCCGCTCCACGACTTCACTACATCATGGCAGGGCTTTCTCTCCATTTCCCTCCCATACCTCGGTGTCTCAATCTTTCTATCCTTTTCTTTTACTCTTTCTCTCTCACTTTCTTTCTCTCTCCCACTCCCTCTCTCACGCGCACTCTGTCAATCCCCCTCCCTCTTTCGCTCTCCCTCCCTCTCCTCCTCCCTCTCTCGTCCTCTCTCCCCCTCCCTCTCTAACTCTCTCTGTCTCTCCCTCTTGTTCTCTGTCTTTCTCACTCACGCTTGCGCTTTCTTGCTGTCTCTCTCTCTCGAGCAGTTAGTCCCACATTTTCTGTGTGAGGAAATGCTGTCTGATCTCACTTTTGAACAGGCTTAGCTCTGTAACAAGCCTGTGTTCATCACATGTCACATAGGGAAATTATCACTTTGATACAGTTTTCCCATTTTTGTAGAGAGGGAAAGAATGAATTTGGAGAAATTGGGGAGAATGAATTTGCCCAGACCTCTGCAGACAGAATGCTACCACTGCTATTATTTAGCTGGGTGGTTGGGGGTTGGGGGGTGGAATAGGGTGTGTGTGGGGGGGGGATGTATTCACGGTTGCAGGAGCAGAGGTTCAGCTAAAAAAAAATTGGAACCCATTTTCGATCCATGTGATAATTATCACATCACAATTCGTAATTTACCGGTGTATTTTTTTTTAAAAAAGGTGCCTGCAAACTCCAATCAGAAACTAGTTATAGAGAATCACAGAATCTTACAGCACAGAAGGAGGCCATTCAGCCCATCATGCCTGTGATGGCTCTTTGAAACAGCTACCAACTAGCCCCACTACCCCCACTCTTACCCAATAGCCCTGAACATTTTTCCTTTTTAAGTACCTATCCAATTCCCTTTTGAAAGTTACTATCAAATCCGTTTCCACCACCCTGTCAGGCAATGCGCTCCAGACTGTAACTTTCTGTAAAAAATATTCTCCTCATCTCCCCTCTGGTTCTTTTGCTAATTTTCTTAAATCTGTGTCCTCTGGTTACTGACCCACCCACAAGAAGAAACAGTTTCTCCCTATCTACTCTATCAAAACCTCTCATAATTTTAAACACCTCTATTAAATCTCCTCTCAACCTTCTCTGGCCTTGTTCTAAGAACAATCTCGTCTCTCCACATAATTTCTCCATATTTATGCTCCACATAAATATTTAAATAAATATTTATGCTCCCCCCACTCCTCTGTTCCTTTCTCCTACACCATTCTCTTCCCCTCTCTACACGCCTCTATTCCCCTCTCCTACACACTTCTATTCCCTTCTCCTACACACCTCTATTCCCCTCTCTACACCCCTCTCTTCCCCTCTCCTACACCTCTCTCTTCCCCTCTCTACACCCCTCTCTTCCCCTCTCTACACCCCTCTCTTGCCCTCTCTACACCCCTCTCTTTCCCTCTCTACACCCGTTTCTTCCTCTCTCCTACACCCCTCTCTTCCCCTCTCTACACCCCTTTATTCCCCTCTCCGACACCCCTCTCTTCCCCTCTCTACACCCCTCCCTCTCTTCCCCTCTCCTACACCCCATGGTTTGCTCTACTCTTCCAGATGCTGCTGAAGAGCCAAGCTGGGCTGTGGGTAGAGGGTGAAAGGGCGACCGAAGGTACAGTCGAAGAGGAGGGTTCAGAGACGGGCCTTGAAGGAGGCAAGGGAGGGGCCGAGGCGGAGGGGCTGTGGGACGGACTTCCAGAGGGTGGAGGCAGAGAGGCTGAAGACCCCGCCCTCCAATGGTGGGGCGGGTAAGGCGCGGGTCTTGAAGCAGGCCTGGGGGGGGGAGGGATTGTACGACAGCCCGGGCCAAGTGATGGGAATCTGCGAAAGCCAAGAGCGGATCATCACATGTGTAAATCCTAATCAGTTAATTGCTCATCCACAGAAGCCAGTCAGTTTCACGCCTCATTAAAGTCTAAACTCTAAGTAATGGAAATGTCCTCCTCTGATGCTTAATTCAAAGCCGTTTTAAACTTCTATTAACGTACAGATAAAACAGCTTTTGTCTCAATAAATTAGATTTTGTAATCACGGCGTGTAACAGAGGTTCTCTGGACCCTGTCCTCATTCTCTTGCCTCCGAACAGCTCTCTAACATGGTAGGATGTGAAAATAAATTTGTTACCAGCGAGTCGTAAGTCCAGCGGGTTCAACTCCAGCAGTTACCCCCCACCCGCCCCTGATGCACACTCTGGGCTTCCCCCTCCCCAGAGCCCTGGCTCTTGCCAACCTGTGCCTAATATTTTCCAGGATTAGGTAAGCAGGATGTGTCCCTCCAGGGAGAGAGAGCATTCCATTCCAATGATTTTATCTATGGGAGGTGGGAGGCATGGAATTCTCAGCTTGGTTTGGAGACTCTTAAGCAACGGCGATGGGTTTCCGATTGTGTCAGATACCCGGCTGACCCCAAAACAAAATGCTGGGACCGAGCATGAGCCTGGATTGTGAGCTAAAATCGCGGGACTCACAGACTAATCTCTCAAATCTAAGCATTTCACAATCCGACTGCTAGTTATCTTAACCTGCCTCTGTCCCTGAGGGTTCCTCAGGGATAGAGGCAGGTTAAGATAACTGGCAGTTGGATTGGAAACGCTATGTATCTATTTCATTGTCAGTGACGCCGTTCGCGAATTGCTGCCTGGGGATATCTGAGGAAGAAGCTATTTATTTACTGGAGTTGTCTGATAGGGAAGAGAAATTGCAATGAAGAGGAAATAACGCTCAAAACATTTCAATTACAGAAATAAAACCGCAATCCTTTCAACACCATCTCCTCTGTCTCCCGTGTGGCACGAACTCGAGTTGTAACAATTATGATAATAATAATAAAAATCCTTGCATTTAATACAGCGTCTTATCACGTCTTTGAGACGTCTCAAAGTATTCTGCAAAGCAGATTGACTGTATACTTTGTGGGTGAAACGTGGAAGCCAATTGCGCACAGGAGTGGATTGAGTGACCAAATTATTATTATTTTTCACTTTTTTTTGGAGAGATTATTACCTCCAGAAAAACAATCCACCAATCAACTAAGAACCAGGTTCCTATATCATTTTGTTGTTGTTATTATTACTGCTAGGTAAACAGAGGAGTGTGGAGCAGGAAAAGTAGTGTAATGTTTCACCCAGCCCTAGAATCGAACACAGGGACTCACGCTAGCCAGCGGGGCGAGTGCTCTAACCACTAAGCTATAGGACTGCACAAGTAACAAGTAACATGCCTGCCAGATTCTCTGCTGCAGGCTTGCATGACCCAAATGGGTTAGAATTATCGGTCGGCCTGGTGAGATTAGAGGCGAGGGGGTATGTAATGTTTGAAATGAAATACAGGCAGATGTTGCCAGAGCACGATTGCACAACTCTAACCTCTCCAACCAGGAGCAATCTGCTTCCTGTTAGAGCTCAGGTCACATATCTTCCTTCTAAATATACAGTCAATTCACTTTACAGTGTATCCTGTGAAGCGCTTTGAGACGTTTTGAAGTTGTGATAAGGTGCTGTATCAAATGCAAGGATTATTAGTATTATTATTCTCGTGATCTCCTTAAAACTGTCCCACTGATAACTATATCAAAACCTGAGGTAGTAGAAGCAAAACGTTTCCAACAAAAACGCTTTGTCTCGTGCCTTCTCTCGATCTCTCTCTCTCTCTTTCCCGGGGTCCTGGCCGACAATCCCCCAGATAAAATCACTCCCTCACTGCCTTTGTGGCTGTTTATGAGGATGTTGCCATGTGCGAATTGGCGCTGCGTTCACCACATACACAGCCACTACACTTTACACAGAATCCTGTGAAGTTTTGATCACGTGTATCAAATACATTGATCATTTTTATCATTATTTTGTAGTATATTCTGTGAAGCGCTTTGAGACGTCTCAACAATGTGATAACGTGCTATATCAAATGCACGGATTATTATTATTATTATTTTCTCCCCAGCTTTAAACCCCCTGTAAACACCTCTCTCCTTGGTCAACACCTCTAACCTCCCTTTCCTCCCCCACTCCCCCCAGCTTAGTGTTGCCCTCAGAGGAGCTCCACTCTACCTAAAGCTTATTGGTGATGATATTTAGCTGAAAAGTCTTTAATCAGGGCTATGGGAAACGCGATTGTGCCAGATAATGGCTGCAAAATAATTCCAGAACAAAGTGAGCGGAAGTTAAAATATCACTGCAGCAGCTGAGATTAAACCAATGAAGTGGATAAATCCATGATGGTGATTTTGGCTGGAGGGGAGCAGCCATTCTCCTGTTAAGTCCTGGGCCCAAAATATAGGATAAATTTTGAACCTTGTGATAATCACGGACCACAATATTTCTCCCCAGTATGTTGAGCGATGCCCCTTGGAATCAGATCAAGGAATGTTGAGGTGCCTTAAAAATATAGTAATAATAATAATAATCCTTGCATTTGATATAGTGCCTTATCACATCTTTGAGACGTCTCATAGGGTTTCACAGAATATAGTGTAAAGTGAATTGACTGTATATTTTGTGGGTGAAACGCGGCCCATATGCTAGTCGTAGAAATTACAGTACAAAAAGAGGCCATTCAGCCCCACTCCTCCATCCTTTCCCTGAGTAAGTACTGGTGTCGGCTCTCCCACAATCCTCTCATGCCCTTTTATAATGTCCCTCTTTAAACACTTATCCAATTCCGTTTAAATGTTGCTGGAATTTCATCTCAATAGCCACTTAGAGCAAAGCGTGCAAATATCTCGCTATGTGGAGAGATTGCTTCAAACTCCAATTTGCAACAGCGAGCCTGAGTCTTTGGCCCCTTGTTACCCATTTGCCAACCAGCAGTCATAATCTCTCAATACATCCTCTCAAACCTTTCAGAATTCTGAAGTCTTCAATTAGATCCTCTTCTGTGTTCCATCAAACCCAGCCCCAGTCAGTTATTGAGCTGACTCTC